AGGACACGGTATGGTGTTTAGGGTAATATGCTGACTCTGTAAACCGCTTAGAGAGGGCTGAAAGCCCTATGAAGCAGTATATAAGTCTAACTGCTATTGCTACTTCTGGGAAAGAGGATCCTTCTGCAATCTATGCATCCTGCTGCTCCCCTCTGGAATGTGTTTGTTTTCAAAGAGGGAGGACAGGCAGCCAGGGCTGATAGCTGACCGAATGTTCTTCGGCTCTTTGGTTTTACAGGGTGGCAGGGAACCGACTGCTCCATTCCATGCCCAAGCAACACGTGGGGCCTTAACTGCAACCAGACGTGCTACTGTGCCAACGGAGCTGCCTGTGACCCCATGGATGGATCTTGCCTTTGTGGTCCTGGGTGGCAAGGAGAACTCTGTGACCAGCCCTGCCCTGTAAGTCTTCCTCGGCTTGGAGAGGTCCTCTCTTTTCATGGGTGATCCAGGCTGAGATCAGAGAGAGACATCGTGTCATGCTTTCACTAGACGTATCCTGAAATCAGTCCGAATAACAGCGTTGGAAGAGAAGACCCAGAAGGTCTTCTAGTCCTACCCGCTGCTCTTCTTTACTCTAACCCCAGGAGGCAAACCTATGGCACGCGGGCTGGAAGTGGCAAGCAGAGCCATCTCTCCTGGCACGCAAGCTGTCGCTCGTTGCTCTTCTGGGTTCCGGTGCACCAGCCAGCTGGTCTTCATATGCCTGGGAGCGCTGGAAACCAGAAGAACAGCATTCATGCGCCCCGGGTAGCTGCTCTTTTGGTTTCTGGCATGCACTCTCTCCCATTTTGGCACTTGGTGCCAAAAAGGTTTGCCAACACTGCTCTAACCATTGTAACTCAAGAATCTATTCAAAAGGGAAACTCCAAAGAAGCTTGAAAAGTTGCCCAGAGTTGTTGTTAACATCTAAGCTAGGTGAGAACTCCAGAGATCAGGGACCAAGTAGCTTATGACTGTCCCATCTTTAAAGTTGGCAAGAGTGAAATGTGCTCAGGATCCCTACCAATATTGGTGGGAAGAAGAACCGATGCACTGAACGAATGAACGGGACAGAACAACTGAGTTGAAAGGGACTTTGTAGGTCTTCTAGTCCAACCCCTTGCTCAAGCATGAAACCCTATATACCATTCAGGACAAATGGCTTCCCAGTCTCTTCTTGAAAGCCTTTAGTAATGGAGCACCCACCACTTCTGGGGCAAGCTGCACCACAAATTTATTGTTCTAACTGTCCAGAAACGCCTCCTTAATTCTAGATTGCTTTTCTCCTGAATTAGTTTCCATCCACTGTTTCTTGTCTTGCCTTCTGGGGCTTTGGAGAATAGTTGTGACCCCCTCTTCTCTGTGGCAGTCCTTGAAATATTGGAACACTGATGTGTAGACTCCAGAGAGCTGTTACAGCAGATGGCTTTCAATAGACTAGATATGCACAGTATGTATGTATGTATTTATTTATTTGCTTATTTATTACATTTGTTTGCTGCTCATCTCGTAGCAGTGACTTTTCTAGCTTACCAAGAACCGATCTAACAAAATGAAATTCAATGTAGAGAAAAGTAAACTCTTACACTTAGGTAAGAAAAACCAAAAGTAAACATATAGACTGGGTGAAACCAGGCTTAATAGCAGTGACTGGGAGAGGGATCTTGGAGTCTTAGTGGACCACCAGTTAAATAAGAGCCAGCAGTGTGCAGTGGTAGCCAAAAAAACCAATGCAATCCTAAATTGCATTAACAGAGAGATACAATCAGGATCAAGGGAGGTACTAATACCACCCTATAAAGCCTTAGAAAGACCACACCTAGAGTCCTGCATCCAGTTTTGGTCCCCACGCTATAAAAAGGATGTGGAGACTCTAGAAAGAGTGCAGAGAAGAGCAACCAGGATGATGAGGGGACTGGAGGCTAAAACATGCGATGAACGGTTGCAGGAACTGAACGTGGC